TCCCCTGTCCTAGGGAAGAGCTTGTGCCCGGTGGCTGCGTTGCCCTGCTGGGGACAAAGGGCTCTTCTCTGTTTAGGAAGAGCTTAACCGTGTTGCAGACTGAACAGCTCTGGGTTTGTTTCTTTGCATGCAGTGTTTTTGACCAACTTAAATCTTGTTTATCGCAGCAGGCTTTGCAGTCCTTGGCAGTCTCCATGGGACAGTGGCGGGATGAGTTGTCCTCAGTTCTGGTGGCTCCGGCTGCTGAGGAGAGGCTCCAATTCCCACTGCAGGTATCCACCTTTCCCTGTAATGTCCCACTGGGATCAGCCACCAGCTTGGAGCTCTGATGTGATGCTACCAGGGGAAAGAGCTGTGTCCTGCAGCCTTGAGGTGCTGACCAGTAGCTGTGGGCTGCCTCGCTGTGGAAAACCACGGAGTATCAGCATTTTGCACTGTGTGCTGGAGCCCAAATTTGTTCTTCTCCTTCGTAAAGAAGGAGGAAGCCATTGTGTTCAGAGAAGTGAAAGCCTGTGTGATGTTCTCTGCTATTTTTGAAAACGTTTTCTAAGTAAAGCAATTTTCTAAAAACACAAGCCTCGCGCTGGTCGATACTTTCCAAATACAACTTGTTCTGTCCCCTGTGAAGACACTGGCCGCAGACAGCCCCAGACATCTGTTCCTCATTTCCTGCCTTTTTTTTTTTTAATGTGAGAAAATTCAAAGTTGTGCAGAGCCAAACAGATTTTCTAGATTCCCTGGCATTTAATTCTCTCCCTTTTTACAGGAACGGCTCAAGAGCTCTCCATTAAGCCTAGGCTGAGGGCATCTCCAAAACGAGAGGCCACCTTTTGGCTCTAAAGAACCATCTCCTGAGTCTGGCACTGGTTGCCTTGGCCAAGAGAGAGGAGGTTGTTGGGTCGGTTCTGGACTGCTCTGGGCCATACCACCCAGCGCCATGTTACTGGAAAAACCATTGGGGTTTCTCCCCAGATCGAAGTCTGGGAATACGATCCCACACGTCGGGAACCAGCTGGACGCACTGGCCTCACCTGCAGTGCGTGCACTGCCAGTGTCCCATGTCCTGGCTCACGGACCTTGCTGCATGTGTGCTCCTCGAGAGGAACTGGAGGAGCCCAGTTCTGGTGAGTGTGGAAGCTCTGCGGCAGTGGTGGTGCTTCACCTCCTGCGAGTCTGACGCCCTTGGGCTGCAGCAAAGGGGGATTGTATCAGAGCGGAGCTGCCAGCCCCACTGAGGAGGGGTGGGTGTAGCGCAAGGATGAGCTGCCACGAGGCAGCTAAGAGCGTTAGCAGGGGAAAAGGAATCTCATCGTATGTCCAGAGTTGGAGTCCTAGGTCAGCCTGTCTCCTTTGCATCATCGAGATCGGTTGGGTCTTCCCAAAAGCTAAGTCTTCCTGCTGGCTCTTTCCAGCAAGCGTCTGGGACAGAGATCGTGGACCAACATTGTGGACAGTGAAGGATGCTGTTAATACCTGCTGCCAGGAGTGCTGGGCTTCCCTGCTCCACAAAGACCAACTCCTGAGGTCTCGGGAGCTCCTCAACAGACCATGCAGTGGAAATCATCGGCATTCTCATCTGATCGGCTCTGGCATCTCTTTCTTCCAGGTGACATACAGCCTCCTAGGTCTCACTGACTTTTCCTCTTTTCTCCAGTCAAGACCTGACTTCAAGGAAGACAAACCTACCGTAACAAAAAGTGCAGAGTCCTTCTTGCACGAGGAACCAAGAATAGCCAAGGAGCATAAATTTCCGCCATGGAAACACCCCGAAGGAGACAGGCCATGTCTTTGGTTAGGACACTGCCCTTGTTCTCTTTGCATATAGTTTTGCATATTGCCTTCGCAGGGTCAAGTTGTTTTTCCTTCAAGAGCAATTCCCCTGGCATTAGTCATAGGTTCCTTCTGCCTGTGAGGATCTTGACCTTGACCCTTGACTCTCAAGCACCTGCCTGTGAACAGCCCTGGCGAAGCTGCAGCGGGTGGGAGATGCTGGAGCTACTTTCGTGTCTCTCATGGGGAAGGAGGGACCTGGCCCTTTGGCCTGCGATATCTGTGGTTTGGAGCAATAAGCCAAGCTCCTGGCTAATGGTTACCAGTGAGCAACCAAAGCTTAGGCGTATGGCACCTGGTCATTCTGAGCATGACTTGTGCCGTCACCAACAGCCAGTCCACACCAGACCTTGTTCTCCTTTTCTCAGCAGCAGAGCCAATGTTTAAGTAGCAGAACATCCATCCTGACGTGAAACTGTCCTTAGGGCAGAGCAGGAACCGGAGCCAGCGAGCCCAGACTCCTTTCCTTTGGTGGTACACCACCCCTTCAGAGCGCCTTTGGGTGCTAAGGGTGTCCTCAGGAAGCCTCCTTCCAGTCCTTCTAAGGAAGAGTGGGGAAGGGCTGTGAGGAGCTGCCCCAGCCCGTGGCCTTCACTGGAAGGATCTGACATTCATGGTGGGCTTTCTTCCTCCTCAGCCTTGGTCTTCGTGGTCTCGTTTTCATACATTTTCTCAGCATCGCCTGTGCTCCCTGCTTCCCAGTTAACGCAGTTTTCCTGCTCTGTTTCCTTGAAAGCTGGTGGTCCCCGACTTGCAGGGCGGCACACTCCATTGCTCGGGTGCTGTGATTTGTGTTTACGGGCTGGGATCGCCAGTGTCCTCCTCTGCCTGCCCTCACCCACATCACAATCTAATCTACAGTCCCAGCCCCACGCTGAATATCTACTTGCTAGTCCTAGAAACTAAAGCAAAACTGAATCAAATCAAGCAACCGCCTAGACAATGTCTATCGTAACTAAAGAAGCTAAAATCAGCGGAAGCCAAGACGAGCCCAGAGAAGTCCTGAGATCCTTCACTGCCGGATCAATACAACACCTATGGTTTATCTCTAGTTACAGCAGAAATATCTCCTGGGCTACAGCAGGTCCTCTGATTTTGGGTTTTTCAAGGCTGCAAGATCTAAAAGAAGCGCAGTAAGTGGCTGGCGCTGGGACACTGGAGGAGTGGACGTGCAATGGGACGGCAAGGGGGTTATAGGAAGCAGGTTGGGAGTGATGATGCCAGTTTTCTGCCAGCTGCAGCCCACGTTTGTCACCGGTTGTTGGAGCTGTTTTTAGCTGCCTGCGTCCATCGGAGCTGATTACCCTGCCTCTCTGTCCCGCTTTTGGTGGGAACTGCAGGGCTTGCTGGTGGCTTAGACCCACGCTGCTGCTGGCACCTGAAGGCCTGCCGTGTCCCACGGAGCGGCGCCGGGGCTGCAGCTGCCCCCCACCCTCCTGCCGCAGGATTTCCTTGTGCGGATGCCACCTCCAAACCCAGCTGCTGAGCTCGCCAGGAGCAAAGGGAGGACTCCGAGAGTGTCCTGGAGGAGCCCCCTACCAGGTAAAACACCACCAGCCCAGGCTGTGCAGGGAAGGCAGCTGCGTTACCCTGCCAAAGAGCTGTTTGTGCCTTGAAATAACAACGCCTTTAGCAAACAAAGCGCTCGCGCTCCCACTTTATGTGTGTGCTGGAGCCCTTCCATCGCTGGCGAAAAACCCTTTGCAGGAGCAGCAGAACCTGTTTCTTCAGGGCAGATGCGAGCGTGCGTGGGCTCTGCCATCACGTCCAGCAACCAAGGCACCCGTCGGCCTCGGGCAGTGCCAGTTCCTGGAATAAAAGTTTCCTGTAAGGCTCTGCTGAGCCTGAGAAAACACTGTTTGGAGAAAGGGCCAGAAAACATTCCAGCAGAGGCAGCATGTTCTGTTCTGGCTGGCTCAGATTATTTTAAGGTCTTAATTTTTACTTTATTTTATTTCCTTGAGATGGGTTTTATCTTCTATTACAATATAAGCAAAGGCTGAAGTTACAGGCGGGGAGTTTCAGCAAATGTTTTAAAAATACATCGTATGGAAATCTAGGGGTTTTCACTCTTTAGGAATAAAATCCTAACTGGAACCGTTGGAATTTCCCACGGCACAGAGAAGCCAGATTTCCACCAGCCCTAAGAAAACTCTGGGGAAGAAAAGACTTAAAGGGGAGCTGCATTCTGCCAGTCTTCATGTTATCTTCATCTTTCAGTTGAGGAAGTTAGCAGGGGAAAATTGTTGTGTATTCTACTGGGATCTGAGGTGAAAGCGAAGGTAAAAAGGGGCAGGATGTGACTCCTGCATTGGTATGTCTGCCTTCGCACCAGGGCGGGGAAGCCCGTCAGCCAGCCTGGTTGCTTGCAGAGCTGGAGGTCTCGTGCTGCCGCTTTCAGCATCAGCAGGACCCCAGTGGCTGAAACCCTGCCGTATATCAAAAGTCAGGGCTGTAGCAACAAGCACAGGCTGCAGACAGCGTGCCCGGGGAACAAGGAGCTGCTTGGGGAGGCCACTGAGTCCGTGCTCACCCTTTGCTTTGGTGATGCTCCGGAGAGGCAGCCTGGCCTGAGCTCACCAGTTTAGCTGATGAACTTGTAATCCTAATTAACAAATCCCACCTCTTTTGGCCTAACAATCAATGCTGCTGTTGTAAGATGGCTGCCAAAAAGGAAGGGAATAGCTGCTTTTGCATTCGGGGTAAATAACGAGCTTAATGTGCATCGGGGAACTGCAAGTCGGAGGTGGGGAGAGGTTTACAAGCTCAAGGACAGTGGTACCTTGGCAGAGGCTGGCTGTCTGAGAGACACACGGGTGGGAGAGGAAGATGGAGCAGCTGACTCCTGAAAGTCCCTGCCTGAATAATTTGCCAAGGAGGCTGGAGCTGTTCTGTGTGCGCTAAGAAAAGCCGATGTCAGTAAGGCTGGGGAATTCCAGGAGCCGTCTAGCTCCCGAGCGGGTGTTATTCCCTTCCTGTCCCACTTTTCCCTCCCCATCCCGCCGTCACCCAGACAGACACGTGTGCGGGGGAGCTGAATAACAGCCGAAACCCCATCTCAGGGCTTCATAATCCTGTGTGGCTCCACAGGATGCAATAGGCAGCTGGGAGCGGGATATACTGCCGGTAATCCTTCCCCGTGCGCCCTTCCTGCTGCTGACCGCGGGAACATGAAGGCTGTTTCTCTCCGGGTCCTCTTCGTGCTGAGGGTCTTGTGCGCGGTGCCCCTGGCTGGAGGTGAGCCACAGCTCCGCGTCCCCGCCCTGCGCTCCCCAGGGGAGCAGCCAGGGTCACAAGGGAGGGGGGGAAGGTGGTGCTGGATCAGGCTGTGGGCACCGAAGGACCTTCGTGGGCTGTGGGAGATCTCGTAGCAGGATCAGGCTGGGTTTGGGAAGGGACGGGGGGAGGCTCCGGCAGCAATCCTGGCAGCAGGGAAATCGGAGCAGCTCCATGATGGCTTCTGTCATTCCTGAGGGTAGATGGGGAGCGTGTCAGATGCTCTGTATTAGAGTGTTCCGATGCTCCATATTAGAAAAGAAGTGTAATGCACATCTTTTCCCCTTTTTTCATGGGGAAATGCCATGGGGCCAGACCACAGCCCGTCCAAGGACGGATGCCTGTCCGCACAGGCTCCCGGTGCTCCCATCGCTGCGGGGCAGGGACGTGCTGTCACCTGCAGCTCCAGTGCTTGTGCAGCGTGTACGTGTGTGCACGGGTGGGAAACACACTCCTGTTCACTGGATAAAGACCTTTGGATGCTCCGGGGTGGTGCTGAGCGGGGCCGGAGGACCGGGAGGAGACGGGCACACCTCTCCCTGGGCTGGTCTCGGTTTAAGTCGCCTGTAGCATGGCTCAGTGACTGCTGCCCAAGGCAGCAATTAAGCAGGGTGGATTACCAGGCTGTCCGACAGCTTCTCAGCAGCGCAGGCAAAGCTGGAGTTCTCCCAGGACAAAGGGATGATCTATTCCCACCATGGGAAGGGAGAAGGGCAAAAAGCCCTTAAGATTTGTGCCCTGCTGCCACCAGATGGGAGGACTAAGGGCAGGTGGGGCTGGAGCTTCTTCCTCTCCTCACCCCTCCGGCAGGTTCTTCAGGGCTGGCCAGAGTAAAGTGGTCAACAGGGATGCCGGGCAGCTTACCCTGCCTCGGGAACCCGCTGCCTGCTTCAGCACTGCCAGCTCTGCTCACCCGCGGCCAAGCATCCATCTCCTCTCAAGCGATGAAGTCAGGCTGGCTCTGCAGAAAGAAAGGCTGGTGGTGCTCCCTGCTAGGGTCTCTTGAGGAGCCGTGCTGAAAAGCAGGTACCGATGGCTCCCAAGAGTGGTGCCTCCAAGGAACGGTGGTCCTGGGTGGATAAAATCTCACATCCCAGGTGTCCCCGAGGTGCCTTTGGCAAAGGCTTGGATGCAGCTTGGGGAAGCAGGGTCATGTGCCCCGCGAGGAGGGGGACCACCAGGGCTGGCTCCATGCTCCCTGCGAGACTGCTGTCTCCTTGGAAGGTGCTTTCGAAGTTCCTCCACTCTGGGAAAAACACACCAGGAGTTCAGCTTATTGCAAACCATTTGCACTGGTGCCAATAATTGGAAAAATCAGTTAACGGTTATCAGAGGAGAGAGGCCTTTGGGAGCAGTCCCTGCCCACTCCCTGCCGTGCACCTCGCTGACTGTCCACAGGGACAGATCTGGCCCTCTTATTGATGTGCCTGTTTTGGTCAACAGCGCTCCTGAAGGCATGTCCTCTGGCTAACGAGAGTTAATTGGGAAGTCGGTCAGCCCCGAGCGGGTATTCTTGGCCCTAAAGTGCCCCAGAAGACATTATTGTGGGAAGAAAGAGTTTCACTTTAACATGACAGAGACGTAGAGATTGAAATGTGGTTCTGTAGAGGGGCGACAGGAGTGTTTGCTTGGCATTTCTGTGCAACCGTGGGTTTCCCCAGTAAATGGATCAAAAGAGCTGAGGGGGCTCCTGTAGCGATGCTCATTCTTGCACCCGATGGCTGGATCATTCCCAACTGAACTGTATCAAATTCACCGAATTCATTTGGGAATCTGAGACAACATTTTGCAGAGACTGCCTGATTTAAACCAGACTCCAGCTCCTTTCTTCACAGGGGGCCTCAGATAAATCAGGGCTTGTTTTTCTAAGTCTCGTCCCCTGCGACGTCAGAAACAAATTGCCGGGCTGTGTTGTGCTACCTCCTCTCGCTCGGCAAACGCCTGCTGTCAGAGGCTGGGGGTAGGTGCCGGAATGAAGGGTCCCCAGTGGTGTGACTGGCCTTGCCCCTTGAAGGGGTCAAGTGGGGTTTTATTCTTACGCTTTGCAAAATGAAAACCGTATTTTCAGGTGGAGATGGAAAAGAGAGGTTTGATGAGAAACTGTGCTGTGAAGCTGGGCTGCTGAGATCTCAACAGGAGCAATGTATCATTCACCGAAAGGTTCTTTCTCTGCACCCTTTCTCTGAGTCCAGGCGGCATCCAGAGACCACGTACCAGCAAGCGGAGGGGCAGGATGCTCGCCAGGAGGGGAGCTCCCGCGGGAGGAGGGGGTTGGCTGATCCAGACAAGGAGAGGACAAGCATCCTGCCCTCCGCGTCGCCTGTGCCAAGAGCCCGTTTGGTGACGGTTGCGGCTGGTCTTTTGGGGATGAGGAACTGCGTCTTCTGGGCACAGTGCTGAGAGCAGGCCTCCTGTGACCCGAAGGGGAGAGGACCTGCGCGTCCAGGTGCTTCCACCTCCCGCTGGTGCTCGCACGTCCTATAAGGCAAGCTGCAACCCGGTCCCAAGAGCCCTGCAATTTTCACAGGGCTTTTTTTTGCAGTTTTCGGGGTATCTTATCATCTATTTGGGTGATACAAATGATCGTGGCCCTGACGAGATTTGTCTTCATCTCACTTTAGCAGGGACTGGAAACTTTCATGGCAACCTTTGGACTCCTTCTCCCCAGAGAGGGGGGGAAAAGAAACAGTACCATTTTTTTAATAGTACCTAATGAAAAACCCAGCATTTAATATGTTTAAATCTTTATTTCAGGGCAACCCAAAGCACCTCTGAAGTGTTCAACAGAGTGCAGGTCTTTTACAGCTGGGATAGAGGCGAAGCAGATAAGGAGCTACCGCAGGACCGAGCCCCGGTGCCCCAAACGCGCCATCATGTAAGCCCTGCCCCCCCGCCTGCCTCCCCTGCCACCAGCCCGCCAGCATCGCCTGGGCATTAGCCTGGCAGCAAACGCCCTTGCTTCTGAGCAAGGGGAAATCTGGAAACAGAGCCAACACTGGTATTTATTTGAAGGGTGGGTGGGTTTGGGGTTTTCTTTTTTTATTTAAAGGCCCACAGCCTCCAAGTGAGACTGGGGGCTCACACACAGAGTGAGGCAGGGACTGGGACTGGGACTGGGACTGGGACTGGGACTGGGACTGACAGACAGACTTGTTGGCAGAACGGGGCAGGGGAAGCACGCAGGGCGAGAGCTCACATGTTTCTGTGAAAGCAGGCATTTTCTCTGGAGACAGATTCAGACTTGTGAGCTTGTCTGGAGATGAGAAAAGCTACATTTTTTTTTTTTTTTTCCCCAGGGTAATTGTTGTTTTCAACTTACCCTGAAGATGAGGCACCATTGAGACCACCTTACTGCAGCCCAGGAGGTTGCTCCAAAGTGAACCTACTGGGCTGACCTTGGAGAGCCTCATCTCACTCAGTAAATCCGAGGGGTTTGCTTTCACATACGCTTGCCCCCGGGCAGCTGGGGCTCGCAGAGGTTCCTGCTCTGAGCGCTGGAGGCAAACACCGTGTCCAAATATCAGGACAATGGTTTCGAAAGAGAAAAACTTCTTAGGGGGAAACCCTCCACCCATGAGTCACATTCAGCTGCTCCTAATTCCGTCAGATCTCAGAGGCACCTGCCCTTCCTGAAATAAATAATGCATCCAACGCAGTGGTGTTTACTGTGGGCTTGAGAGAGTCAGTGTTGCTGTCTGCGTGCCCTCCCTATCATGCTGGGCATCTAAAACAGTGTTTTCTTTATCCGGTAAGCGATCCCTTTTTATTTTCAGATTTATTACTCTGAAGTCAAAGGAGATTTGTGCCGATCCAGAAGCAGAATGGGTGAAGAAGATTGTATGGAAACTGGATCAGAAAAAGGCCGCAGCCTCCTCACTTCCACGTGATGGCACATTGGCAGTGGCACCAGAAGAGCCCGGTGTTTCTCAGAAACACATCGGTCTTCGAGTAACAGCTCCATCTCAAGCCTCTGCTCCAACTAATTTCTTCCAAGAGACTGGCAGAATACTTTTGGAGAGACTACATGTTCCTGCTGCCAGGATGGAGGCATCCAGCAAGTCCCCGCCAGCCAGGCAGCACACCAGCCATCTCCCTGCGGGATCGTCCCCTGGGACATGGGAAGTTGCTGCCCACTCTGAAGTCACTCCGGAGGCAAACAGAGATTCCTTAAAATCTTCTGCACCTTCAACAACTTTTGCAGCAGGTATGGTCTCCAGCCAGCCCACCCCATATCCCACAGCTCCCGTGCATGGCTTTGACAACGCCATGAGATCTACAGAAGAACCTGTAGGACATACTGCAAATGCTGTGGCTGATGTCCGAGACACGACTTCTCCCAGCTCAAGTTCAGACCCTGTAGCTGTTCCTAAAGGATCAGACCATCCTGCACTTTCTACAAATGAATCCCTGGACCGTACAAGTGTAAGAGCCAACGCACCAGACACTGCTTCTGGCAGTTTTAATTCAGATCTCCCCTCCATCCTGGACAGCCCAGAGATTGCCACAGTCCCAGCCACATCAGTTCCACCAGAGACTACTTCAATTTCTACTGTAAACTCCACAACTGCCATAGACAAAGGTCCTTCTGTCCATACCAACAAGGATGTCAGTTCCTCTCCAGATGCTTTTGGTACTACAACATTTGATTATTCATCACCCGTAGGAAAGCAAGAACCTTCAGATATGTTAGTTTTTAGTAGTCAAGCTTTCCCAGGCCAAGCCAGAGCGCAGATGACTACAGAAAGGCCAAACGATCTGCCTCTTACCGGCTTCTTGTCAAGATCTCAAACGCACTTTGCCATCCCAGTTTCCGTGGTAGGTGGTCTGATGGCTTGCAGTGTTGCTGTTGTATGGCTGTATCTAAAATTTGGAGTCAAAACAGAAGAAATGTCAAAAGAAGTAGTACAGGGCTTGCTCTACCAGAAGGAGGGACATCAAAACAATGTCTAGGCAATGGAAGTAATCTGAATGCTTTATGGTGTGGACAATTTTGTGTGGTGCTGCAGGAATTTGTGCTGATCTGGTGACCAGGAGGAAGCAAGTCAGGGAATAAAAATACCAGAGAAAACTGACTTTTTTTTTTTTTGGAGCTGAATGTCCAAAATATATCTAATTCATCATTGATCACTGGTGGTATTTTGGAAATAGATGTTTTTTTTTCTTCTGGCACTGTTACATATAAAGGCTGTTGCTGTTCTAGAGCTGCCTGGTGGCTCTTCGCAAGGTGGTGGGCAGAGGTGAATTTCCAAATTGCTGTTGGGAATTTTTCTGCATTTCATCATGGCCCAGCCGAGAAGCCACCCGCTCAGCCATGCTGCTGGGCTCAGGCTCAGTCACCTTAAGCAATCTTGACACCAAAACCACACAATTTGCGCTTAACAAACTCTCTGCTGCTTCTTTCTTTGCGGTTCAGGTCGCCGCTCTGTCGGAGCAAGACTGATGCTGGTGGTCAGCTGGGTGCTGGTTCTCCTTGGGCTGCTCAAATACCCCATTTACTCTTGCTGGAGACTCGAGGGGTAGTCTGGCTTTTCAGACAAAGGTAACAAAAACTGCATCTGATTAGGGGCCTGAAGGTCAGTGCTATAGATTTCACGTTCAGAGGAGCTGGCAACGCGCAATCTATCTTCTCTTTGAAATCAGGGCATCTTTCTCCCCAACGGCTATGGGCATTTCTTCTTGCAGATTTAGTCTGAGACCTGGTTCTTGGTAAATCAGCTGCACTAAAACTCTTCTGCCAGCTGAGGCTCCCTGTGTCCAGCCGCATCCAACGCCAGGGCAGGGTAATGCGGATGAGCCTTTGCAAATGGGAGAGAACAAGAAGTCACCTAACAGCTTTGCTTCTCCTGTGACAATACTGGAGGGCTTTTGCTGTTCTCTGAGAGCACAAAACCCAGGAGATACTCTTCCGGAGGAGCTAAATGCAATTCTGGATTTAGTAATACAGGAATTACTCCATCACAGCAGATGTACCATCCTTCTGGTCCCATATTCTCCCTAGAAATAAGCACGTTTGCTGATCCACAATAGAACACAAAATGCCTGTTCATGGTCCTACACTTCAGCTGCATTTTAGTTTTCCTTTTTTTGGATAGCACTGGTCACCAGGCTGTTAAAGCACTGTAACAGCACCAGGCTTTTTATTAAACCCAAATTGGTTTTTATTTTTACACATCTAGACGTTGCTGTTTGTAAGCCTTCTATTTTATTTGTGGTCAGTTCCTGAAGGCCCTTATTAGACATTGACTCTGGTATTAATTTTGCTGGAGCGTGCAAAGGTCTTTGTGTTACAATGCTTTGTAGGTAGAGATACGTATCAAGGGTCAGATCCTTCTCTAACCAATGTCAGTGGATCAGATCCCAAAGTATAAATATGCATGTAGAAAAAAGAAAGCAAAAACACATGATAAGGAAGATAATCAAAGCAAAAATGATGGGCCAGCTGTAAAGCAGAGCTAGAGCAAGGTGACCCGTTAGATCCATCAGGTTGCACCTTCAGGGCATCCAGCCAGCCCTGGAGATGGAGAGGACAGACTGCAACGGGGTTTGTTTTCTGCCGTCATTCAGTCCCTTATTTCTGCATTTTGTGGACTTGAGAGAGGGGAGCCAGGGGTTCATCTCAGGCTTGGCGAGTACAGAATGCAATCAGATTCGTTGTAATTAGGAATTTGGGGTGAAACCCCTCCCTGCGCAGCAGCACTCCCATGCAGCCCAGCCATGTAACGCTGACTGGGGTTGATTTACCTGGAGGGTAAATCGGGGGCTGTCGGCATTTCCTCCCAATCCACCCGACTCACGCGCGGCTGGGGTTCATGATCTCCCAGTTCGTGAGGCAGCGTACTATGGCATTATTTTTATATGAAACACTAGAAATGTTATTTTTGTAGCCATTTGAATGTATGTAATGTCCGGTCCTTGCCGCTGGGCATCGCGGGGTTGAGATCTTTCTGCGAACATCAGAAAACACTGTGCCTTGTCCATGTTCTCGCTGGTCTTGGATGGTTTGTGCACGTCTGTGGGCGCCGGGTCGCTCTCCAGGCACTACAGCACACGGAGCGGATGCTTGTCTTGTCTGGCTACGGGTGAAGTCCTCAGCTTGGAGCGATGCTGGGGAGATGAATGTGCACCAGGCAGAGCTGATCGCTTCGAGTCCCACCATGGTATTTATAAGGACACCGGTTTCAGCTCCGTGGCTGGCTCCCACCGTGGTCACGCTGGCACTCGTCAGAGGGAGCTGCTTCTCCAGCCTGGCTCCATCCTTGTGCTTCCCTTGTTCCCCTCTCCTGTTTCCAGGCTGTCAGCAGGCAGGGCGCTGGCACCTCTCATGGGGGACAGTTAAAACCCAGGGCAGGGGGGACACACCGCTTCTCCTCCTTGCTTTACCCTGTGCGGTGGGCAGTCTGGGAGGGCACAAGGTGACTGCCGGTGCAGAAGGACAGAGCCTGTGGGTGTCACCGGTTCCTGGGGCTTAAAATGGCATTTGCCGTAGAGCTCAGTGACTCTGATTCATTTCTGTATCGTGTCTATATGAGTATGTGTGCGAGATATACATTCTGTACCTGGTTTTTTAAAAGTAAAACTAATAAAGTTAAAAACTCTTATCCTCAGGGGATTCAGCCCAGGGCTGGGTGACCAAGCCTGGTCCCTGCAGAGGTGCGGAGATGAACCCAGAAGTTTAAACACTGGGGCTGGGGCGGGGGGGAATCCCAGCATTGCTGATACTGCTGGGCTATTTCTCCACCTCTTCATTGTTCAAGTAAGTGCTTCGGTCTTGCCAAAAATTTGCAGGGAATATATTTTCTCACAGGGAATCTCATTTCCCATCCTGCTAAGGTAACACTGAAAACACAGCTGGGTTTTTGCTTTGCTTAAGGAAAGCTATGCCCAAACAGCAACCTACAGAAAACAAATGTTACGCTCCAAGTCCGTTCTGTACGGGGTCAAGAAGCCAAGGGCTGAGCTAGGACCTCTCCCACCCCAGCCAAGGCTTGGGCTTCCCGCAACAGGAGTCGGTGCCCAGGGACTTGCCTGAAGGGGGGAGCTGGAAGGAGCAAGATGGTGAGGGCTGAGCATCCCTCCTGCATCCCAGTCCCGCCCCGTGCCCCAGCACCGCTGGTGTGTTGGGAAAGATCCTGAGGTCCATGAAAACTCCCCCCAGATGAATCACCAAGCCAAAAAGGTCGTTTTGGGGATAAGAAGCTCTGTGGAAAGAAAAACACTTTTTTTTCTTTCCTTTTTTTCCTCTCTGTTATGGGGAGAGAGTGGGCGAGGGAGGGGGAAGTTGTGTAAACAAATCAGCCCCGACAGTGATGAATCATTTCCAACATGCAGAGCCAGCGCCGGCACGGGGCCGTTCGGGGGCTGTGACTCCGAGGAAGCTTTCAGATGCCGGGTCCCTTGGCTGGCTTTGCCGCTGCCCTTTCACTTCTCTATGTCTGCCAGTGCAGGGAAAGCCCTCGTGCGAAGGATGGCAAACCGTGCACCTTTCCCTGCTCCTCCTGGAGGTCCATGGGCTGCCTCAGGTGTAGCGTCTGGCCCAGGAGGTAACTAAGGCCAAGTCTGTCAGATGGGACAAGTGCTTCCGCCTCGCGGCTCCCCCCCAGCCCACAGGAGACATGGTCACGGTGTGTCCTTCTGGTCCCCTGCTGCCCCCACCTGTGGTTTCCAGCTCCACATCAGTTCAAACCCTCCCCACCACTTTGTCAGCCAGCTGTTTTGATTGACCTTATGAGAACAAGGAGTCACTGGGATGCCACAGGCTCACCTCCATGCCTTCACATCCCCACAGCATCCATCAGAAGGCACGGTAGCAGGTCTTGAGGGCACTAATTGGCCTTAATCACCCTGACCAGCCTCACCTGTGCATGGACCTTCCCACTCCCCCCACCCCACCCCACCCTCCGGCCCGAGGCACAGGAGTGCCATTTTAAACTCAGGCTTGAGCCGCTAGTCCCTGCTTTGGCTGTGTTGTAAGAGTGCTGGTCTGATGTCCTGGCTCTTGGATAGACCTTGGGCCTGTGCTGTAGGTATCTTGTCTCCTGGATGGATGGATCCTTTTGGTCTTGTAGCCCTGTCCCCATCTCCTCCTGAAGGGACACCCCTCCCTAACCCTCCCAAATGTATCCTGGATCTGGTTCCTTGCTTTGATGTATCTGAGACCCCTGATGGACCTCGTTACCAGTGCCTGGCTCTGCAACTCACCCCCTCAGCTGAGACCTTGTGGGACCTCACCCCACTGGTGAGGACACTGCCTGTGCTGGGGTCACCCACGGCTCATGGCTTGTCCCCGCTCGCTACTGTTTGGGCCTGGCAGCAAGACACCTCTGCCATCGTCTGCTCCAAGCCCTGACTCCTCACCAGGGTGGCCTGTGAGGGACACGGCTATTCCTGTGAAGCAGAGACCCTGCACCCTCCATCCTGTTGGTTTGAGACTTGCACTGTGAGTTATGAAACGTCTGTCCCTGCTCGATCTGGTGGTTTTTCTCTGAAATGTCGCGTAAGCACGCTTGTGCCGAGGGCAGCCTCTGGTCAAGCTAACGTCCCCCAGCTTCGTAACGCCTGCTCAGCAGAATGCGGGATGTGCCCTCAGCTGCCTTGGCTCTCTGGTTGCACACCCGTGGTTCTGCTGTGTGGCTGTGGTTCTTCCACGCTCTGCCTTTGCCTAATCTCCGTTTTTGTGAGGACTGGCCCTGCTCACATCACTGCAAGGGCTGCTCTTATCGCTGAGGTCCCCCTTGGGTAAACACAGAGGTTGTCAGGACTCTCCAGGGTCGTACTTCTTCAGTGACCATCCCTGGTGATGGAAGAAGCTTCTGTTTCTGAAGCAGCCTTGAATTCTGCCAGGTCAGCTACAAGGCAACAATGCAAATCATTTCAAAAAAATAATAGAGAGAAGTGAGAGGAACCCTCCAAGGAGGGAAGTGATGTCAGCTTGCCAGCTCAGACCATAGTCGGCACAAATACTTTTTTATGATGATATCTGGGGACCTTAATGTATCTTTCTCATCATGTTCTTTCAACTGAATTTATTTGTACGTTTGCTGAGTTTTATCCTAATCAAAAACTAAGGGACAAGTCAATTCGTAACTCCAAGGAGGCAGTAGAACAAGTTATCAAGACTAATTCTGTTCTGAATTAAATCACTAAAAATTAGGCTGAAATGGCTTCTGTGTCCTATTCTTTTTTTGTTATCACAGCTTTGCTTTAAAAGCTGAGCTGAAGCAGCCCTCCACTGCTGTCTTTAACTCTATGAGCTCAAAAATGGTCAGGGTTGAAAAAAGGAGGCTGCAGTCCTCCCCAGGCATCATTTCCCCTGATTGCTACCTGACACATAAGCCCTTCCAGTGCAGAGTCTCCCTTGGGAGCAACGGCTCCTTCTGACACCCCAGATCCATCCTTCACTTATCCTTGAGGCAGTTGACCAACCTCACTGGAGAAAAATTGGAAAAAAAAAAAAAAAAAAAAAAAATCTCCTTTTCAGTGCATTTGAGAAAATTGGCATCACATACTTTTTTTTTCCCCTCTTAGCGAAGTGGATGTTTCCAGTTTCTGGTCCAGGTGCATCCAGCCCTGCCCCTCTGCTTGGCCATCGTGGTGAGGGTTCCCTTGCACCGGTGGGTGAGCTTGCCCAGTGACTCCGTGCAGATAAGCCTGGGGAAGGGCTCCTGGACCACGACCTTCCTGCAGCCTCCATCTCTCACGATGCCGTGCAGGACTTACCGCACAGAATGCAGCTTGGATCACCAGCTTCCAGTACTTGGTGATCCCCAGTGTCCAGCTGTAGGAAGCAGGCTTTGGAAGAGACTCGTGTTTTCCTCTTTTTAAAGTGTCTTTCCAGGCTGTAGGACCTGGCACGGTCGTACCTGGAGTCGCAGAGTGAGCGCTGACTCTGGGAAGGAATGAGCGCATCGCCTTTGGTTTGTGATCGTATCCTGGGTCAGCCAGAGCTTCGAAAGGGAGATGGGGAGATCCTTGAATGAGCACCCCAAAGAAATGTGGAGGGCCTTTACACACAGAAAGCTGAGGTTTTAGTAGAAGAAAAACTTGAATGTTTCATATTGTAAATGGAGGAGACTCAAAGGGACTGGGTAGAACAGAAGATAATAGGGAAAAGCTTATTCCTAACTCTCCCACCACCTCCTTGGGGACAGGTTTCAGGCACTTGGCGATGCCCAGGTGATGCTCAGCTGCCTTTGCCACACAGAGCCTGTGCCCCCCCGAGCAGCACCGTGGCTGTGTGGCTCTTTTGCAGCCCAGCTGGGTGTGCTCGTTTATCTGCTCAGACCCCATTTCTAAGCGTGGGGCTTGTTCTGCCCAGCTCCTTCCTCCCCACCCTGACGCTGTTGCTGGCAAAGGCTGCACCTGAGGTGTCCCCCAGGCCTCTCTCCTCCTCTTGCAGAATCAAGAGGATGGTCTTTAACTTTTATGTAAAGAAGCAAATTCTTCAGAGCCCATTCAAATGAAAATGGAACTTGGGCCAGCAGTGGGGCTTTCCAGCACTCATCAGTTAATGACTGCACATCAGCCTTTCTCTTCGCAAAAAGTAAAAGAATAAATATCAAAGGGTCTCCAGAGAGTCACAAATTGTCTGACTACGATAACAATGGCTTGGAAACCTGAGAAAGGGGAAGCAGAGCATCACAGGCCAGACCTTCTGCCAGACAAGGAAGCACAACTCTGCAGAACCAGACTCCCCGCTAGTATTTTTACTTCTCAAGGCCTTCATCCAGAGCAGTCTCTTCCCTCTTCCCTGATCCTGGCTGCTGGGTGCCACTGTGTTTGTCCAGCCCCCAGCACTATGTGCTATCCTGGCCGCCGTGTGCTGCCCTGGCCGCCCACCCAAAGCACCCCCCCATAGCTGAGGAGTGGTTGGGTGAAGCCCCAGGTCATGAGGAGATATGTCATGGGCTTACAGCAAGACCATGCCTATCCATCCCCAAAATCCTCCAAGGGTCCAGCCCTTGGATGGTGGCCTTGCCCAAGGCTCTGCGTTCCCTTGGTCCACGGCTGCAGGGGAGCCTGCGTTCCCCCAGCTTGTGAGGGCATCTGCCATGGGTATGACAGCATCATGCCACCTGTGCTTGGTGGCCCTGCTCTTCTGCACATCACAGGCAAGACAGAAATGCATCGGGAGCAGCAATCTGGCCCAAGTCCCCAGCTCAGTGTTGCCAGTTTGGTTGCAGATCACAGAGAGTCGTGGTCTCCAAAAGGCTGCCTGCTGGGACGGTCTCCGTAGGATGGGAGGCTACTCTGGTCCTGGCAGCCATGGCCCAGGATTGGGGAGAGGATCCTGGAGAGGCATACGCATCTGCAAGAAGGGAGCCTGGGGCAGGGCAGTGGTGAGGAGGTGGCCTAAAAGGGAAAGGGAGCACCCGCAAAGCTGTAGGAGAAAGGAAAGATGCTTTCGGGGATTAGTAGGAGGGCACGAGGAGTTTATTACAGCCCAGGGAGACATGGAGTCGCTGGGATGAGCACACGTGGGAAGGAACAGCACTGTCCTTAGGGGTTGTGGGTCTGTTTAGAAATGCTTTGGTTTTAGTCCTTTGGCAGCTGTGGCCTCATGCCAGCTCCTCCTGGGCTAAGTCATGCTTTTGGGACATGGGGACTCCATCTCTCCAGAGGAGCTGAGCCCAAGCACAGCAGCTACGGAGGTCTGAGTATGTATTTTAATAATTTCTGCCAGGTTGGGAAGAGCCTCAGCGTACCCCGCCTGGGCTCCTTGAGCCTTCAGCAGCAGGAGATGTGCCTCCTACTGTGGCTGGAGTTGAGGAGACCTGGGCATGACCAGGTCTGTTCTCAGCACGGGGTGGTTTCCCCCCAGGTTTTTTTAAAAGTTTTTTTTTAAATCCCCACCCAGGGATGACGCAGTCTCGGACACAATGTCCTGCTCCAAAGGGGTGGAGGGTGGCTGGGGGTGGCGGTGTCAAGAAGGGCTTGAGGTGGCCCCTTGGGTAGCTCACAGTGGATGCGGGGGGACCGTGGTGCACCAGGAATCTGCATGGGACCCTGCTGCTCCATGCATCCACTTACAGCCTGGGAAAAAAAAGAGGGAATGGGGAAATTGGCTTCAGAGCAGGGACTGTGGCAAGGACCTGCAGAAGGGTCTGGTGGTCTGAGGGGCTGGATGAGGAAAAGGGAGCTGAGCCCAGTGGGGAGAAGCTGTTCCCAGACTAACCCAGAGAGGCTGACCCCCTTTCTGCAGGTCCCTGCAGGATCTGGGAGGCTTCAAGGCTGTGAAGGGAGGAAGATGTTGGAGAAACACCCAAGAACTTTGAATACCAATTTTTCCTTCCACTTCCCTCAGCCTGATTCAGCCTCCTGCCCCGACCCTCTCTGTGGGTTTGGGAGCCCCTGAGCTGATGCCTCCGCAGAGGAGGATTTCACTTCCCTTGTGAGCCCTGCGGCTTTCCCACAAACCCGTCCTGATGAACACAGAAGTTGCCGACGTCTGTTCAGTCTTTCTAGGTATCGTCTCGGTCAGTAACTCTGAAGATCCCACGTGACATGGAAAGCCCCTCAGCCACAGAAAACATACAGGGCTTTTGCTATAATTTCGTCGAAATTCTCTGGAAAAGGGCTAATGTGGGGAGGGGGTGGAGAGGATAAATTGCAGTACCTCCTTGCCTGAGCTCACAGTTGAGCTCCTCCGAAGAGGCAGAGCAACACCCTGTGAGGAAGAGCCTTCACGCAACCACGATGCTTGGCGCAAGGACGGTCCTGGTGCTGGCGATGCTCCTCACCCTCTCCCCACACTGCGATGCAGGTAAGGCACCTTGCAGGTCACCACTGCAGGTTGGGGCTCAGGGTCGTCCCATTGGGGAAGGGGTCAGGCAAGAAACCCTGGCATGGAGCAGGGACGGTGCTGCTGGCAGAAGAAACAACCCCAGGTTGGGACAGCACTGCACGTCCGGGGGGTGCAGGGAAGGATGGAGATGACTCCCAGGGCCGGGTGGCTTTGGCAAAACCAGCTGTGGGGCTGCTGGCGCTGGAGGATAACCTGGAGCATCCTCCTGCCCCGGGAAGGAAGGACGGCACCTGGTGGTCCTCATGGCAGCAGCTGCAGAACTTGGGGGATGTTGCGTGCATCAGCCTTGTCATGGGGGAAGCTCTTAAAGACTGCTTTCCAAAGCCAGTATTCAGCATCTCTCTTTGTCTTCTCCAGCCCCTTACACACCGTTCGAGTGCTGCTTCAGTTACGTGAAGTCCCCTATCTGGCAAGCTAACCTGAAGGATTTCTACACAACTCCCAAGGAGTGTTTTTCCCCAGCAATTGTGTAAGTCCTGGTAATTTCCCCACTGCTGTGCTGTCTCCTGGGCCACCACAGGTTCAGTTCATCTATCCCATCTGGGGACAGGTCCTCCATGGGTGGCTGTCTTCCAGCATGAAGAGGGGAAGACATGAGTGTCTGGCCACTTCTACAGGGCAGAGTTAAGGGCACAAGTCCATCGCACCTCCTGAAGGCTCTGTGCAAGCTCTAGAGACACTGGGCTGCAGGATGAGCTGCTTGTAGGACACCAAATACCCAGGGGCAGCATGCAGGGCCAAAGGGAAAGGAGAAGGAGAGCAGGGAAGGGAGGATGGCATGGACATGAGTGAGATTATAGCTGTTGTTTCTCACCAAGCTTCACCTTTCATCTCGGCAGGTTTGAGACCAGGAATGGGACCAAGGTCTGTGCAAACCCAAAGGTGACTTGGGTGAAGAAAGCAGTTGAGAAGCTTCAAAAAAGGAAGAGACTTCAAGACCCGTGATGTAGAGCAGGTGCCCTGCTTCAGGCTACCCAGCATCCTGGTGGGAAGGAAGGTTTATAGTCGTCCTGCTGGAAAGGGCTGTGGAGGTCCCCACTGCCGAGGGATGGCACTGACTCCCCAGAGCCCTGTGCCGGACTGACCAGCCAGACACCAACTCCTGGGGTGCTGCTGCTGGCCCCGCCAGCACTCACCTCCTGAGCACAGCTACAAAATAAAGGTTTCTTTCATGTGGTATTGAAGACTGATGGCCTTTCTTCTCCCAGCCCCAGCAACTGTGCTGCTGCCAGCTGGTGGAGGCACGGAGCCGGCCAAGAGGCTGGGGTGGGATGAGGGCTCTTCCCACTACCTCCCAAAACCTCATGGGTCTCACTGGGGCAGGCAGGGAGGGAGATGGGAGCCTGCTGCATGGATGCTCTGGGCATTTGGGTACTCACTTCAGTGGGACCCAAAAGGGGCTGAAGACTCCTCTGAGGGCTTTTAGGTGCAAAACTGCCATCAGCTTGTCCCTTGCATTGCCCTGTGCATGCCATGCACGAGCACAGCCCGGCTGCTACATCTTCCCTGGGACTTTGGTGTGTATCTACCTGAGCTGTGCTGCAGAGGAAGGATTTCTCTGCAGAGCTCCCTGGGTGGGTAGAACTGACAGGGGATGCTGAAGCATGGTCCCTTGAAGACAAGGGATTCACCCACATACAGCTGTGGAAATGCCCTCTATGCCAGGGGTGCCACGGGGAGCTCACCAGTGATCCTTGCCAGGGTTTTGGGCTGGGAAGAAGAATTGGAAGGGCAAAAGTGAGAAAACTCATGGGCTGAGATGAAGATGGTTTAATAGGTAAAGCAAAAGGTGTGCAGACAAGCAAAGCAAAATAAGGGATTCATTCACTCCTTCCTGCCAGCGGGCAGGTGTTCAGCCATTGCCAGCAGAGCAGGGCTCTATCGCACGTAATGGTGACTTGGGAAGAGAAATGCCATAACTCCGAATGTCCCCCTCACTTCCTCCTTCTTTCCCTGAGACAGTTTAATAAGATGGAAATAAAAGAAAACCAACCAACCAACCAAAGAAAACCACACAGAAAAAAACCCAAAACCCACTAAGTGATGCAAAAGCCATTACTCACCACCAGCCATGCGATGCCCAGCCAGTTCCTGAGCAACAGCCACCCTGGCACCACCCCCCACTGCCAGTGCTCCT